TAAAATAAGTTTTTTAGTAATCTTATTTTAATATATTTATAAATGAGAGAAATACATGCAAGTTGGATATTGGATAATCTTTTAGTACTTTTTTTTTTTACATAATAATTGAACAATTTTTTTTTAATAAAATTATAGATTTATGCTCTCAAATTTTAAGTATTTTGTTTATTGTTATTTTTCATTTTACGTTTAAGATGTTTGAATTATATTATTGAATTTTAAATTATACTTATATTTTAAAATCTATTGAATATTATAGTATTTTGTTTATACTATATTATTATAGTATTTTATTTATACTACAATATATTTGATACATGCTCAACCCTTTTTAAAACAAAATTAACATTAATATATGATTAAATAAAATTGAGATCGTGTTAGAATACTAGTATTTTTAAAAAGTTTAGAAACTCAAATTTTTTTTTTTTGACAGCTTTTCAAATAGACATTTTAATGGTTAGAAACCAAATTGATTTTTTCTTTTTTCCTTTTTAATTTAAAGACTAAAACAGACCTTCCTAAAGAAGGAAATAATCTTAAAATTATTCCACAGAGGTAAGTGGAAATTTCTTTTTACTACCTCCACTTTTCAATTAAAACTCATTTAATGGTTTAGGCTTTAAATTGGAAAATGGCAAACAGATGAGTGTGAAATATGAGGGTAATTAATGGGACAAGAATATCCTTATCAACGTACATATATATATATATATAATGAAATATCCTACGAATGAATTTTGGGTCAATCACTTTTTCTTTAGAAAATTGTTGTTTTAATCTAATTACTTCTAGGTCACCTACTTGTATTGACGACATGTTCATAGTAAATAAGTGACTTAACCAATTAAATTATGTTCGATTGAATTGCCTACTTTTATTTATATATATATATATATATATATATATATATATTTTTTTTTTTTTCTTTTTTTCTTTTTTTAAATACCTACTTGTATTTAAATAATACTGCTCTTCAAATGAAATTATTCAAAGTTTAGTGGGTCGCACATATATATATATACTATTACATAATTGAAGGTAGGTGTAGCCCCTCTTATTTTACTATGCAGGGATAAGATTTAATTAAAGTTGAAACAATAAAGAAAACAACAATAATATATCCAGTGGTACTACTGTCCCTATAAATGGCCTTCATTATTATCTTTTTTTAGTTTAATCATAGTGTTAAAGATCCCACATTGATAAAATAAGGGACCTTACATGGATTTACAATTAATAGACATGGGTTACTCTTCTTGAGATGGAAGTCATGAATGTTAATACATGGGTATGAAATCAAACCATCAATTTTTGAAATCGTAACCGGTACTTTTATTTATTAAGCTAGGCTTCAATTGACATTTAGTTATAATTAATATCATATATTTGCTTTCAAGTATTCAATATTTTATTCCCCTGAAGAAAAAGTATTCAATATTTATTACTAAATATTTAACAATAATTTTTAAGTTATTAATTAGTCAAATATTAATAAAATAAGTTATATTTATTTCACTTATGTTAATTGTTTAAGTAAAAAAAAGGGTAAATAGACTTGATAATTTGTTATTATCCATGATAGAGGAATATTAATTCATTTTTCTTTTCTTTTTGAGTTCAATAACTGATAGAGAAATTGTCCAAGTGGATATATGAATCTCTAATCTTAAGTTGAGTATAGTTAAAATATGTGTTTAGGTTGTTGGCAAATTAATCCATCAATTAAGGTAAGAGATATAGTATTTTATTGATTATTTATTATTGCATGTTGTAAATTAATAAATAATTAAGGTAAGTCACGTGGGTAGTATTTATATTCATGAATTCACTTAATTATCATTAATACATAATAATAGCCACCTCATTGTCGTGGTCCTCTAATCTTTTTATTATTATTTTTTTTTTGGCAAAGGTGTGGTCCTCTGATATTCAATTTGCTATTATATAGCCAACTCTATTTGGAACTAAATACGGAACAACTCTTATTTATTTATGGAAAAGTAAGTAATCTTTTATAATGAAAAAAAAAAAGTTAAACTACAAATAATTAGTTTTAGACTTCGATGATCATTGATTTTGTCCCTAAACTTTTGAAAGCGATAAATACTTTTGATTTCACCGAAAAGGTCTAACACTAATATCAATAATTGTCCTATCTTATGTATCCATGATCATTTCCCTTCCCTAGCCCATGTGGGATTTTGTTTGCATTCTCCTTACAAACCCAACAATTCAACCCTCGAAGAAAGTACCACCATGCCTCCTCTCAAAGTAGTCACTCATCCTTCTACTCTCGAACTTGAATGAGAGCTTTGCTCTTATCCAAGGCTTCCGTCACATCTTGATAGAGCACACCCACAGATAACACCATGACTACACATTCCGAGACTCATCACTTCTTTGTTCGACATCTGAGAATTTCACCAATCCAGCTAGGTTTAGACCATGGTTCTGATACCACTTGTTAATTCTATTTCTTGTGTTATATTCATATGACAAATCAATTGATCTATTTTTTTTTAGTTCATTCATAGGGGCGGCTAACTCCATATGGAGTCTCTTCGTTTTGGTGAGAACATAAATATTTCTTCTATGAATAATATACACATTTCAAAGACACGTTTTTGGCAATCTTTTTAAACATTAATAAATATAATTCTCTACGTGCGACCCATTTGGATAGCGATAAACCTAGGACAATAATGCTATGTAATCTACAACAATTAAAAAATAAGATTAAAAAAAAAAACCCATAAGGATTGAAATTTAAAGAAAAAGTAAATATTTTCTTAATTTTATCAGAAAAGTATGACTTTTTGTAAAGTAGAAAACGTTTCTTAAAAGAATAATGTGTGCTTTTCTAAGAGATTTCAAATAATAATATTGGGATAGCTTTTTCATTATTATCTTTGTATAAAATGTCGGTTGTTGTTCTTGTTTCATACTCTAATTTCTTTAAATCGGATGGAAACTTTTTTAACTAAAAAATAATTAAATGTTAGCTTTCGGGCTCTAAAATTTGAGTTTAGTTATATGGCAAGTGAAACTTTAATTCTTAAAATTTGAAAATTATTTTTAAATTACTATAAGCTCGATTCATAATTAGTTAACCAAATAACTCATTCCGAAATCCATTTGAGAGGGTGGCTTACAACATATTTAAAATATTTCTTAAATATTTTACCTTTTAATAAGGTAGTGATAATTCCTTTGCCAAAAAAAAAAGATAATTTTTTAGTCACGTCCTCATATATATATAATTTATAATTTTTTTAGTACATATAATTTAGATTTTTTATTTCAATGGTCTCATTATTGTAAGTAATATATAGCTCATGTAAATAACTATAAATGATAATGGAATGAAACATTTCGCAAATTTGTCCATTTTAAGTGAAACCTTTCAAGTGAATTAGAGGACACCGTCCAAGTTGATTCATTGATCTTACGGTCAATCTGTCACTTGAAATTGTAAGATGTGATAATAAAACAAAATTATAAATAATATTTTAATATTACTAATTAAGAACTTTTAATTTTTATTTCGCAAAATCGATGTCGTGTAGCTTATACAATAGACCCCTATAAGGAGACTCGTTGTTGGGCTGAGCAATACAGTGACTAGAATCGAAGCTAAGGCTCTCATGGTAAGTGATATCACAAGGCCCAAGGTTCTTGCCACCGCATCATTCTTAAGAGACGATTAAGAACTTAGATGGTTTTCTCTTGGTATTATTTTTTTTTGACATGCCCGTATTTCCATCGATATTCATATATATCGTCCATGGTTTCGACATAGATACGAGGGATGGATCCACACTTTCATATATTACAAAAAATTGACAAAAGATATAAAAAAAATATATCATTAAAATATAACGAAATATTGACATAGTATCAATCTTAATAAATTTTAACTTATTTAGAAAAGAGTGAAATGCTTATTTATTAATTCAAATATTTGTTATGATTTTGTTTATTTTTATAATTTTTCCAAAAATATCTATCAACATCAAAATTTTATCATATTTCATTTCACATTCTCATAAAATTGAGATATCGACATTTTCATTGACATCAAAATTTAAAATTTTTATTTTGTCTTTTTTTCCTAATGACATGTTTTGCTTGCTTTAAATCGGTGGACTAGTAATATTAGTATTTTTTAATTTTTAATTTTGAGTACTAGTAATATTAGTACTCACAAACTCTTAGTTGAAGATATATATTAATTACTGTTGAGTTAGGCTCGTTCTGGCGACTTAAGGTATATTTTAAGATTTTTATTTTAGAATTTGAATCTCTCCAACCCTTAATTAAGATGCTATTTGTCAAGAGGCATGGGCTTGTACCACAACATTGGGTGAAATGACATTTTTACCCTTAGGTTGATGATGGGGATTTATACTAATGTAGAGTATTTTTAAAATGTATTTACAAATACATACCTAAGAATGATAAAAATTTTACACAAATAGGCTGTCGTGAAGAGGATGAAAATTATGCATTTATCCTCGAGATTCTACCATCATTCACCCATCTTAAATAATAATTGGCAACATGAATATATAGCTCTCAACGATGACTGGCATACTCCTTCTTTTTAAGTCGGAAGATCGATCCTTTATTTCTCAAATTATTGTATTCAAAAATAAAATTTTAAAAAAAATCAAAATAATTTTCATTGGTAAAAAATAAAAAAATAATAAAAAAGGAATTTTCAGATAGCTGTCATAAACATTCAATCTAAGATTAGGAATATGTTTCAATAATTTAAATAACAATAAATAATAAAATATCAAAAAATTCATTTTAATTGAGTAAATCAATTGTAATTCAAATTAAACTCCAAGCTTAATTAAGTAGTGAAGTTACTTATAAAAAAATCACGCTTGAATATTGTTTAATATTTTTCTACTTTTTTTGTCGAATTTTTCTATCAAGTGGCATAAAAGGAGTCTAATGCCTACCCTTTGTCAAAACTCAATACTATCTTGAACAGTCAAGAGAACGAGGGTCCCAATAACTCTCACTCATACCCAACGATAACAATCTTTAGATATTTCGTCAAAAAGAAAAAAAAACACTCATCGCACATTATAAATTAAGCATAATTTTTATTGTTTTCACAATAAACTGCTTACATAAAATTCAAAATGCGGAATATTAGAAACCTAAAGCCACCTTAAGCACACTCTTTTATTCCATAGTAATAAGTAATTAACGAGTAGCTTAAAACCTGGCCCGGTCTTAACCACACAGCTTCTTCAAATGGAGATACTATTGGGAATTCCTCTGCCAGTGAGCCCTTCAGAGCTCGATGGAATCAGCAAAGTGTACGGCACATTAGCAGGCCCAGTTCTGTTCTTCAAATTGATGTTTCGATTCCTCTCCATAATTCGTTCCTCAACTTCAAACACTTGTTTTCCAAATTCCTCAAACGCTGCCAATGCAGCTGCATCTGAAGTCCATTCCACGCTGGCTCTCTGCCCGAGGTAGACCTCGTCAGAAGCGTGCCTCGACAATATTTCAATCAGGGACATCCCAATGAGGCACTGGAACTGGGAGTTGATTGTTCTCAAGAAGGCCTTTTCGGGGTTCGACTCGAGTTCTTTGTACTCTGCACTGCCTGCCTCCGGCATCAGTCTGCGGCTTACGGTTGGTCGGTTGGGAATGAAGCCGCCGTAAGGGTACTGGCCGAAGTTGACGGCGGCGTGGAGGGCGGAAGCGATCCATATGATGATGGTGCAGGACTCGATTAGCTCGGCGAGGGTGTGCATTTTGGGCCACCATGGTTTGTGTTGTAGGTCGGGATGGCCTTTTTCTAGGACCTCTTTCCACCATAATTGGAGTTCGACGTCGTTTTGGATGGCCGCGTCGTCTTTGTAGTAGAGACAGCAGTAGTTTATGACCCAGTTTTTTATTGTGGACCAAATCTCCAGCCCGTCGACGGCGAAGGGATAATCTTCTATCAAAAGTCGAACCCCGTGTGGGGAACTTGGATCTTCAACTGCTACCCCTCTACAGAAATAAAAAACAATTGCAATTTCAAAGAATCCAACGAGATTTATAAGATATATGAGTTACTCATTTCTTGGGATGGTATTATTAGAGCCCACAAAAAGCTCAAACGAGGGTCCATCAAAACAGCCCCCAATATCTTGAGAGGGCATGTTAGAGCCTGTTTGGTAAGAAAAATATAATTACATGCATCACCTATGAGTACATTTTGGAACAAATTGGAAATGGGAACAAAAAATTTTGTTTTTGCTGTTTTCAAAATTTCTATACAATCTTGAAAATGTTTATAAAAAATAATTGTCAAATGCTTAAGTTTCTTAATGAAATTGAAAACGAGTAACAAAAAACAAGAGCATTTATCGAACCATCCTATAGAATCTCAAATCAAAAGGTAAGGGATATAACAAGGTTTATAAGATATATATACTACTCTTCTCGTAACTAATTGATTTTAATATGGGATATAACAAGGTTTATAAGATATATATACTACTCCTCTTGTAACCAATTGATTTTAATATGGAAATTCATGAAGGTTAAAAGATTTATACATGTGATTTTCATACCCAATCAATAAATATTTATATATTAGGATTTTACCTCTTCAAAAGATTGGCAGGCAGTGCTTGTTCAAGGAAATTCCATTCCTTGTATATATAAGAAGACAACTCCATGGCATACTTTGATTGAAAATGAGTTTGTTCCAGAAGACCATCAGCATTAACTAGAGTTTGCCTTGCAAATGCATTGATGAACATGGTGTCTTTGTAATGGGGAGCAAGCAACTTGTGAATTGGATGAAGCACACTTAATTGTCGATGTGTTGCAATCACAAAAGGCTCCAGTACTGCATGTGTATTCAACCTGTAACAATTTTCAACCGTCAAATTCACAACAAATCTTAAACATGATTAAACCACCAACGAGTCCAAAAACTTTATTTTATGAGTTATGTTATGGTAAATCTAATTCATATATAGATATCTCAACACTCCATCTCACTTGAAAAACTTTTCGTATGGTTCCAAGAAAAAATTAAGTCTAACAAGCCCCACCCAATTGTGGGTCCCGACTAAGAATAAGACCCGCCATTATTTTTCCCCCCTCATATGATCTCAAAATAAAAATCTTTAACATGATTAAACCACCAACGAATCCAAAAACTTGAAACTTGAGCTTATGAGTTATGTTAAATCTAATTTATATATAGATATCTCAACACTACCTCTGACTTGTGGGCTTGAAAATTTGCTCAAATGCCAACTAATAGAAAATGAATATAAATAGGAATGAAATAACATAACAACACACGGTTCCTAGGATTTCTTGTTCTAATATCATCACCAATGAACCTAAAAGCTTAAGTTTATGGATTAGGGTGTAGATTTAATTCATATATAGATATCTGAGAAGAAAAGTGATAAATTAATAAGATAATTTTCTACAATAATGAGTATTTAACTATCATGAGTGACTTATTGATCCAAGTTAAAATCTCATAACGACCACCTACCTTAAGAATTAATTACTATGTATTTTTTGACACCAAATATTGTAGGATCAGACCGTTGTCCCATGAAATTAGTCAAAATGTACGTAGATTGGCTCAGACACTCACAAATATCAAAAAGAAAAATATATATATATATATATAGAATTGGCTTATACCAGTGGCAGATAAGTTGATGATACCCAGCATCATTTACAGCCACATAAGCCTTGGCTAGTTGCCAAATTGAGCTTTCAACTCCTTCTTCAGCTGGAAAATATAGCTTGCTAATGGCACCAAATTCATCCTTTTGCTGGTGTGGCAAGCTCAGCTCAATAACCAATGGCTTCAAAGTCCCATCAGCTTTCAAAAACAGTATTGTTCTTGTGGCATAAGTCTTTGTAGATGTTGAATTTATTTTCCTAAGATATGGCATCAATGCATCATGGTGATCCAATATATATAGCCTGTTTTGCTTCATTGCCTGTTGATATCAAATCGAATCAAATCAACCCTTTATTTTACTTTCATTCGCAAATGGGAATTTTTATGACCATCACCTCATCGACGGTGAGTCCATCTAAACCATGTTTTATGTGTTCTTCAGTGATTGTACTATTTTGGTTTCCATAAACCTTATGATCGAGCTTGCTCAACGGTGGAAAATGCTGAAAGAACGGAACAAATTCAAAATAAACCCTCCAAATTAAGAGAAACTAATAACCATCAATAACACAAACATATAATAGATTACTTGAAGACGTTGGATGATAATAGGGTTCACTCCAGCCAGCATTTCTCTCGCAAACTCTTCATCAGTTCTCCAGGCAGACTTATCATCTATGTATCCCAAATCGAAACATTAATTAAATAAAAAGTTCGATAAATGCAAGCATATAATTCGAAATTAGTCTATACCTTTGACGATTTGAGGAGGGGGAAATTTGAGGAATCGTTCACCATCGGTCCTTAAAAGTTCTTTGAACATGGGTGGTGTTAGGCCTTCAGTGAGGTTCCTAAGAACATTAAATGGAATGGGAAATCCTCCATCATAGAGATCATGAACTTCTTTGAATTTGTCAAATTCCAATGGAGTAAAATCAAATACACTTTGAAGGCCTGGCGTGACAGATGAAGAAAGTGACTTCAATGCATACGCAAGGAAATCGTCCATCTTCAAGTGTCCAAAATTTTCATCTCTTGGTACGTAAATATCTAACCCCACCACCGATTTCATTCGGCTTTCAGACTTGTGATCTGCAAAATAAAAGAAAATTTGAGTTCAACGGTGCACGTATGGAAAATCCCAACAAACTCACAAGCTTAAGCTTTTGCCAACAAGCGGAAATTATAATAAATGAGGAGGAAACAACCATCCACGGTGCGAACACTTGACCTCGCAATCTGATACTATGTTAAGTATGAATAAATCACCATTCAACCCAAAACCTTAAGTTGATGGGTTGATTAAATTTAATTCACGTATGAGTATCACAAAACGAATCACACAACTTCTAATCGAATATATGTCTTAATTAAATCAATTGAATTATGCTTGGGTTGGCAAAATAACATTTTTCTGTTGTTATATTACTAAAAGTATTCTTTGTAACGGTTTAATAAATTTTTTTAACTAAGTGGATAAGGTATTGTGTGGTTCCCAAAAGATGGAGAAATGTTCTACACCTTTAGTTATTATTTAAAACAAAAAAACAAAAAAAAATAGATGAATGGTTAGTTTAAGAAAACAATGATCTAGTTTTTTTTTTTATTTTATAGAAAATAGAATGAGTATAAAATGGGGGTTTAATAATAAGGGTGCTTTTGTACTTTTTTTTATCCCAAAAATAAATTGGTATAAGTATACCTTTTATCTTCAAATTATTGAAAAATATTTTTTTTCCTACATATGTATATCCCACCAAACAGACATGCTTGGCTATATATGGCCACATATTTGGTTGCTCACTTTTTTCCTATCATAAACTTGGGTTAAATATTAATAAAATTGAGAAAAAGAAAACAGTTAAATAACATTCTATTATTTTCTTAATCCTTAATAAAGACAATTGCAAACTACCACATATTGTAATTATTTTTTGATGTGTGATAGACATTTCAAAGAAAAATAATGCTTATCAAATTTCATTAAAACAGCTAACAATGTAATTTAATTGAAAATTGGCATGTTTTTAAAGTTTTGAAAACTAGATGCATAGAGCTAGGTTTGTAACCGTTTGTAAAACACAATTGATTTAACATCTTTCGTCACTTAAAAATTCATTTATAAACAATAATATTTAGATATTTGCAGGACAGTAAGATTTAATGTTAAAAAATTGACCCTCCCCTTCCCTTTTTCTTAGTTGTCAATTTTTTATAATTATTTATAAACGAGAGGTGAAAATATTCCCACCCTTTCTTGCATGTGGTCTTCCCGTTCTTCCTCTACGAGGATAAGGATATTCACTCCCTCCAAGAATGGGACGAACAAGGCTAGCACCACCATCAGGATCGCCAATGTCGTTGTAGACATCGTAGTCATAGATCCTATCCCATTTTTGACGCTCTCCTTTTCCATCACCTCTAAGATTCAGCAACTCCTCCTCTCTATACTTAAGGAGTGGATCTGGTGTTTCGTTCGGAAGATAAGTCTATCGAACATAAAATAACATTAATAATCGAGGAAGAGAGAGATAAAACAAAAGATGATGATAAAAAATGATCACCTTATTGGCAAAGAAAATACGATCTTTCTTGTATCTTCGTGAAGGATAAATCCATGAGTTGCAGTCAAAATGGACAGTTCCATAGTCAGGGACATTGTCAAGAGTAAGGGACTTGAGATAAAACTCAGTGGTATGGCCATTTTTTATGTAGAAAGCCCCCGGAAGTCCAAAGCCCTCTTCCCATTCAAAGTTAACTTCAAACACAGATTCTCCTGCAAACAGCCGTGGCATTGTGGTCGCCCACCTCTGCAAGTAAGCATTTTTTCCGACTTTCCCTCGCGGGCTGTTTGCTGCGTCGGTAAGATTGTTGGAAATGCGATCAAAATCTCGTATTAATTAGATAGAGAAAGGATTGTACATATAGGAAGAACTAAGATTTTCTAAATATCAAGGTTTCAGTTTTATGAAAAATGTAGATGGAAATATGATAAAGTATCGGTGTTGTTTCGGAAAAATTTATAGGAATAGAAAATTTGCAGCGATGATTAAATTAATGGATAAACATTTTATAATTTTCAAATGAATTATAAATTATTAATATTGATATTATTCTCATTTTAGTTATATTTCATTAATATTTGTTTGGTTTAAATGGATCTATGGTACTTTCAGCATTGGTTTATTTTGGTCCGTGTACTTTCAATTTTTTGTTCATTTTGGTCTGTACTTTAAAAATGTTTATTTCGTCATCGTACTTTCAAATATGGTCTCCATTTATAAAATTTTAATACAAATATTATCCACGATAGAAACTCTTTAACACAAATTTATAGTTGTATTATTTCAAGAAATTTAGTGAGTAAGAGGTCTATACTAAAATTTTGATAAAAATAAAATGAAGAAACTAAAACAGTAACTAGTATAAGGACCGAACCCAACATTTCAAAAGTACATATATTATTAAAATAAACAAAAGTTGAACCAAATTCGAAAGGTAGAGTAACCCAAAATAGTATTTAAACTTACTTAAATAACTTGTTCATTTTTCTTATGTCAAAATCACATACATATATGAAAATATCGACGGAATTTACTATCATATAGATAACTTGAGGTATTTTGATCGGAACTAAAAGCAGAGCGAGACAACTTACAGTGGTGATCAACACTAGTTGCACTAATGAGTTGAAGAACAATCGAACTTCCCAACAGCTCAACGAAAGTATCAACGACAGTGGAGTGTAACTCAGTGAAATCCAAGGCATTGCTTCTCATCAAAATCACCTTCCCTTTGATCTTCTTCTTCCCGATACCGGTGATATCGCCGATGGCTCGTTGGGTGATGTTATTTCCGGCATCTATGATCGAGCCAGTGATGTCGCCGGTAGTTCTGAGGGCCTCACCGGCGCCTTTAGCGACCTCCCCGAGAATCTTTCCTCCCAACCCGAATATGCTCATTAGATCTCTCGCTTCTTCTTTCTTTCTTCTCTTCCGTAGTAGAAAAGGAGTTGTGTAGAGAAAGTCGAGGAGTCGTTATGCCATTTATAGCCAGGAAAACAAGCTCCCCATTGCTTGAAAAAATGTGTGAAAATTTGAAGAGAAAATGTTGGAAGAAAAACGACAATGAAAATTATTCAAGTAGGCCCCATCACCCCTGCCACCTAATTTGCATAAATTTCACATGTTATAATTCTGTACGTTCCTTTGAATTATCTCATTACCAAAATTGTCCTTTTGCACGAAAAATGTCTACAGATTCGTCTTCTTTTTTCAAATCAATATATATATTATTAATTTTATTGTAAATGAGTTACTTAGACACTGAAACTAAATATTTGGGTAATTTTTTTTTTCTTGGTTTGATATAATGTATGTTGGGTTTTTATTTTTTATTTTTTTTTAAATCAGAGAGAGAAAGATATGAAAGTTGGAGAGGTATAGAAAGGAAGATTTGTTAGAAGAGGTGAAAGAAAAGGAGTACAAAGAGGGATTTTAGAGATCGAGAGAAAAAGTTAGAGAGGAAGAGATATGTTAGAGAGAAATTGATAAGTTAGAGAGTAAAAAAAAAAGTTAAAAGAGAATTATATTAGTGCGAGAGAAAGAAAAGTTGTATATGGAGAGAAATTTTAGGAAAGAAAAAGTTAAAAGAGAGATGCACGTTAGAGATAGAAATGACAGAACGAATGAAAGCATATATAAGTTAAAAGAGATAAAAATTTTAGAGAGATATTGTACGATGATAATAAATTAGAGAGGAAAGATATTTAAGAAAGACCTTTAGAGAAGAAAAATGGCCAAGCCAACATAAAGTATGAATAAATTGGTTAAGTATAAAAAGTCGTGAATTTGAATTCTCACCCAATGAGAGAGAAAAATATATTAGAAAATAATGGTAAATTGGGAGGGCGAGAAAATGTTCAAATAACGAAGGATGTGAAGAGGAAAAAAAATGAGATCTTGAAAAGCTAAAAAATAGTTTTCTTTCATAATTAACAAAGATTTTTTAATTGTTGAGCTATATTTTTTATTCTATTTATTCTTGTTTTATAACATTTGTCATCTTTTTTCTTTTGGAGGGTTGCTTACAATTTCACAAATATTTTTCAATTTTTGAAAACTGAAAGTTGATGGGTTTTTTTTTTACAATATATAAACTGCCTATTTTTAGATTAAAATAAGATAAATTATAACACAAAATTTATATACCTACCCTGTCGACATGTCCATATATTCATGGATTCGACATCAACACAAGGGATAAATCGAGATTTCCACAATATTATAAAAAAAATCGACAGAGTATAAAAAATATCAACAAAATTTCACTAATATAAACATAATATTAATATTAATCACTTTTAACTTATTCAGAAATGGTTAAATGATTATTTGTTAATTTAAATATTTTTTTTATTTTTATAATTTTTCTAGAAATATCTATCGACATCGACATTTTATCGATATTTCTATCGACATTTCCATGAAAGTGAGACCTCGACATTTACATCGACATCGACATTTAAAGTCTTGCTTTTGATACCAAGAAACGGTTGTTATTTCAATATTAAGTATTTTCAATATTCCTTTGCCAAAAAAAATAAAATAAAATAATTTTGTAGGTAAAATTAGGAATTAAAACATATTAATAAAAGGGTAATAAATAAAGAATCTAAAGTTTGGGGCATATTATTATGTGGGCAAAAGAAAAGTTTGGGGAATTAAAATAGAGATTAGCCTTTTACCCCCACCCTCAGCATCAATTATTTGATGACTTTCTCCTTTTTAAAAATTAACCGCTCGTTTAATTAATGAGAATTTGAATGATAAATCTTGTAATAAAGATAAATTGGAAGTAAATCAATAAGAAACGAATGTCATCTCTTTGATGTTCATTCTGAAACCTTTAACTGAAATTCGATTCATATATATTATTGTTTAGTGCTTGAAATTATAATAGGAATAAGACATCCTCCCATATTTCTAACCAGCTAAGAATAAATTAATGAAAACAAGTAGTTTAATATTATTTTTAATTCAAATAATAATAAACAATAAAAAAAATTATTCCATTTTTGTTTTATTTTATTATTTTTATTTTTACAAATTATTAAATATTAACTAATAATAACACTACTTAAAATAATGAAAATAATATCGTGTCAACTAAAAATGGTTATTTATTAAAATAACAGTTATTAATATAAAGTATTATTAAATTTTATTGTTTATGATATTTAAGTGATCTAATGAATTCTATTTTAAAAAATTTTATCAATATTGATTAATAAAAACAAAAAATTGGTTAATTGAGTAATTAAATAGAAGTCCGTAAACTTTTATTATTTTTGCGTTTTTATTTCTATATTCGTGAGTGTCTAGACTTAACTTATGTACATCTCGACTAATCTCACGCAACAATCGTCTGATTCCATTACATTTGATTGCCAAGAAAATTTGTAGGTAATCTTTTATTATTATTTTTTAAGTACATTTTTTATTATAAGATCACATCATCCCTTTCAAAAAAGAGGTCACATCAACTAATTAGTTTTAGTATAATTTCTTACGGGAGGAAAAACGAAAACATTATCAAATACGTTTTATTTTCATTTATCTATTTTCATTCTCTTGAAGTAAACGGTCGAATCTCAATTATTTGGTTACCATCATTCGAAAAAAAAAAATTACTGGGACGTGGACTCATATCATGTGACATATTTATGGATGTGTGTACCATTTTCTGCTGGGTTAAAGTTTTTGTTGAAATAATAAAACTATGCTACATGTGCCACTTTTAATTTTTACCTACTTACATTTATGTTTGCATTTCTACCTACTAACATTTATGACACAAAGCCCCTCAACTTAAAAACTGTTGTTAAATATTAATAACTTAATTATGATTTTATATTTGTTTTGAAAGTAACTTTTTGAGTCTTAGCCAATTTGCAAAACAAATATAGGTTTTCTAATCTATTTTTATTTTTAATTTAGTGAGATTTATTTTAATTTTAGAATATAAACATGATTTTAGTGCTAACAAAAATAATGGAATAAGTAAAATATAAGCTATCATTGTTGAGGATAAGTTTGGAATTTAAAATTATGTAAAGGATAAATAAGTAAAAAAAAAAGGAAAAATCTCGACCTACCCACGTTTTCATATAGCAAAAAAAAAATCATATTTCATAACATTTTTCGCAGAAGACAATCTGACTTTGTATCTCCTAAAATAGATGTTTTATTTTCTTGCATTGGCCAACCGACCAACTAGTGGATTTCAATTTGTGCACTAGTCCGGGGGAAATGTCTTGAACTTATCTCAAACATCTTTTTACAAACTCAGGCTTCTCAATATAAAATCTCTTCCCCAATTTAAAAATTACCTATGTGGGACAAGTAAAACAAATTCTACTTTGTTATTCTCGACAGGGGAGGGGGTTTCTGGCATATTTGCAAAGAGGGGCTGAGGGTCGAGGGTAGTGCAAAGAGGAATTGATGGCAGAGATGAGATTTGCTATACAAATCAAAAGATTCGAAACTAAATAGGTTACCAAATATGTAAAAAATATATATATAATTTTAGAGGACGATAAATTCGAAAGGGTTACTAAATATGTTTCAATAAGAAAAAATATTCAATGTAATCCTACATGTATTTATTAAAAAAATATTTAAACAAATAATAAAAAAATTAGCACTAAAAACAAAATTAAAAAGCAAGAAACGAATTCGTTCCTTTGGCGAAAAAAAAAGAAAGAAATGAAAAAAAAAAAGGAATACGTTGCTTAAATTTAGGGTGGATAGTACATGTCACAGCTCACTTTTTAATTTTTTAATCAGCACGATTTCTTTATTACTCGTACAAGCCACAAGGTACAAAATTCAGATAGTGGGCCCTTTTTCTGATACGTTGTTAGATAAATTAGTTTGAAAGAGTGATGCCAATGAAATGTCGATGCTCTGATGTTATGAAAATGTCGAGATTGACGGATATTTTAGAAAAAAACATATAATTTATCGGTTTTAACTATTATATGTAAAAATATAAGTAACTTACTTATAGAAATATCGTAAGAAATGTTGATGTCGTTGAAAAGTTTAGGAAAAATCATTGAAATCTTCTCAATTACAAGTTCATGATAACTTAATTATGGTTCAATTAGACTATAATTGATCAATTTTTAACTATCGTATCTAGAAATAAAAGTCATACTTATATGAAAATATAGACTTAACTATTTGAAGAAAATTTATGAAAATGGGTAAAAATTGTTTAAATTAGTAAAATGAGACATTATTATTATTTAGTTCAACAACATGCAGAGGTAGAGGACGTTTGAGGTGAATGTTTGAACTCACGACCTCTGGATTCGATTGACATTTTTAGTTGAGGTTGTAAAATTTAATTAATTGAGTTGGACTCAAATTTGCGTCGAAACTTAATTTTGATGTTTGAGATAAAGCTAATTAATTTTACTAATCAACAATGTAATTTAAAGTAATAATGAAAAAAAAGACTTAAAAAAGGAAAGATAAAGAAAAACAAAGTGAATCATTTATCATTGAATTTCACATTTTTAATGGAGTATGAAACTTAATTAATAACATCAATAGATTCTTGAAATTTCTGCTAATAGGTTAACGATATAAACATTTGAAAATTAGATTTGAATAGGAAAAATTAAAGAAGATAATAAAATGAGATTGTATTTGTTCCACGTCGAGAGGATTCAAGTAGGGAGCAAAAATTCTCTATAAAAGGACTGCAGCCATAGAAGTACAGGTCTAATTACTGAACTTTGTCTACAAAATTTGGCTCGTATGAAGTAAAGATTTTTGGACCGCTAATTCTTTCATGCTCTCGATATTTTCGACATATCATCGATTTCTCAAAATTTTGAAATATTGTTGACAAGGAGAAAAACGAAATTTCTTCTTATCTGATTGGTTGGGTCCATTTTTGCTTCAATTATTTGGTACTTTTTTTTTTTTCTCTTCTTTTATTTATTATT